GGTTGATTGCCTGGGCGCCTGCCAGGGCCTCTGCGCACGGGGAGAGTGTGATTTTTATTTCAGCAGAGAGGAAGGCAGGATCTTAGAGCTGGCTTTCCCGGCTCATCCTGTTTGCAGAAACTTACCCTGCTGGGCTAATGACGTTGCTGGCAGTGTATGTTTCCCCAAATGGATTCTCTGGAGTCTCTCTCATGAGTACATCCAATCCGAGGGCTCTGTTTTTCTTTCTTTTAAATTTTTGAGAAGTATTAGAGGAAAGGAACTAAGGGCAGCCTCTTTCGCTGACCTCTGACCAGAACTCCGACCATGGACTTAAATACATGACCCCATCATTTACTCTTTATCCATCTGCCACAGCAACAAGAAGTCTTTTCACGCTAGCTTAAGACCCTCTCCATTTTCTCTCTTTCCTGTGCGACCTTCAGTGTCCAGAGGAGGGAAACAACACTCAGAGGGCTGACAGGGCTTGGAGAAGTGCTGAGGGTGGGGCTTAGACCTGGGGTTTGGGGAAGGGTTCTGTATTCCAGACACCACTCTCCTCGAGGTAGTTTCTCCAGGCTCAGGTCTCCTTCTGTGAACTGTGCGTGTCTCTTCCCAGGTTAGTTTTTTGTATACCTCTATCCTGGCCTCTGGACCTCTCCTGTCTCTGTTCTCACTTCATGATGGCTCTGTCTTCTGAGAAATGTGACAGGAGACCAGACTTACAAGGATCTTGCAATCTGGGCTATCTCTGCAACAAAGATAGATGAAGGCTGGGATCCTGACGGTAGAGCATCTTCACTAAAGCATCCATGAAATGTGGCAACTCCTTTATCCGGGAGCAGCAGGAGCCCCACCCCTCAATGTGAGCCCTAAGCAGCCTGCACTCTCGCAGCTGGAAAGTGAGCTCTGAGTCCTGAAGAGCTGAGACTTCAGCCTTCCCTTTTTGAAGAGGTGGGACCACATCATCCTCTTCCTGAATGGGCGGGGCTGCAGCATCCTCTTCTTGTGGGGTGGGACCACAGAATCTTATAGCCTACTGCACTTGCCTAAAGGCAGAGATAGGTCACTCAGCCTCCCTAAAGTGAAGATATGTCAACCTTTTGGCTTCTTTGGGAAACACCGGACAAAGAAAAAATTGTCTTTGGCTACATGTTTAGATTTTAAGGATGTCCAATTCACAGCCTGCAGGTTTTGAAAACATACATTTATGTGATGCTGAGACACGGTGTTGTCATTGGCAGAGTCCATACTTGGGTGGTACACAGTCAAGCTTCAAAAATACTAGTGGGGTGCTTTAAGTAAGTTTACGGCTGCGTTGGTCTGCTTTCATAGCTTTCCTGGGCTGCCTATAACCTGCTGGCTGTAGGCCGGATGTCCCCGCAAGCTTTACCCAACTAGTCTGTGTGTTGGGAAAGAAGATAAAAATGGGGCAGGATCTCAGTGTGGGAGAGAGCCAAGGGATGATGTGGGTCTGGTCCTCCAGGCTGCAAGGCTGGTAGGTAAGCAGAAGGCAGAAAGGACAGTTGCACACATGCCCAGGGCACTGAGAAAGACACTTGAGAGCTCAGGGTGCTTGTGTCCACTGTGAGTTATTTGTTCAGTGGTGAAGTCGAGCCCCCACCATCTCAAAGTGCTTACATCTACCAGAAGTTGACAAGCTTGTAGAGTTGTGTAGTTTCACCCGGTGGGCCTTTAAAGCCAGCACAAGTGTCTACGTGCCTGCTGGCCTTCTTGGCCCAAGAGCCACAGTTTGAAACCAGTCAGTGACAGACACAGCCAGATGGCTGGGAAGCATTGAGAAGTTAGGTCATGGGGTCCTGCATCTTGGCCCCACCCAGGGTGCTTCACATTTTCAGACACACAAGCCCAGGGAACACAAGCATGCCTGTTTCCCATGCAGAAGGCTAACTCCGTTGGGGATTGCAAAAGTAACGTGTGTATGAAGTGTGCCCCATCATTGCAGGAGGGATGGCAATGATGTGGAGGCTGCGCCTGCTGTTAAGGAACTTGGATTCTGAACCACACTTGTCTATCAGACAAGCCAGTTTCACTATATTCCTGTGAGGGGAGCTTTGGCTTCCTATCTCACGAGGAAACCGAGGTACAGAGATGTTGAGTAACTTCCCCAAGAACACACAGCTCCAGAGGGAGCCAGGTCCCTGCCCAGATTTGTATGACTCAGAAACAAAGGCACAATTTGATTCTGTTAACTGTAGTGTGGGAAGGGGCTTCTTTCTGTGGCCCACATGCCCTAAGTGCACTTGCTCTGGGGTCTTCACCCTCTGGGGCCTACACTGTGCTAAGTGCACTTGCTCTGGGGTCTGCATCCTCCTCCAGCGCCCTGAGTATCTACCTTTTAACACCTACCCCTCCTACAGGCTCTCCAAGGACTGCCTGAGTCTTTTTTTCATATGGGATCAGATGACAAATACTTCAGACTTTGGGATTCACGGTCTTGTTTATGATTCTTCAACTCTGCCCCTGAAAGCAGCCATGGAAAGTCAGTGAATAGATGGCCATGGATACATTCTAATAAAACTTTATTGATAACAGTGCAGGCAGACTTTAGCCTATGATCCATAGTTTTGTGACTCTGGGTTTCTGCTTGTGGACACATCTGTCATTGGTGAGAAGGATAACGATCCCACTGGAGGTACTGAAGTTGTCTCCCAGGCACTCACCTCTAAGGACTCTGTATTTGTCCTAGAACAGAGGTATTCTCTGTGGTCCACACTGCCTGGGTGCATTGGTCAGCCAGCCTTGACTTTGGGGCTGGATCTGCTAACAGGAGCCTGTTCAGACTCCAACAATGAGAACCTGTTTTCAAAAGGAACCAGTTTTGTTCCTTTTGGGTGGGAAGGTGTGGTGTGTGTGCCCTTAAGGGGGCCACCTACCTTCTCAACACCCATTCCCTTCATCTGTAAACCAGCTTGCAGACTGCTCTGGGAACTGCACCTTCCTGGGGAGCCTGGGGCAGAGGTGCTGACACAGCCCGCCTGCGTGGTCTTGCCCTTCTGGAAAAGCACCATGCCCTGGGCTGACAATGTGTCCCATGCTTCCGTCATTCTAAATGCAAAGCCACGATGCCAGTCGCTTCAGGTGACCCACCAAGATTATGCGGGGAGAGGATCCATCTCCAAAACACCTAGAACTGGAAGTTTTTCTCTGGATTTTGGTATATGAACACCTTTGCAATGATCTGTCCTGGGGGTAGAATCTGAGTCTAACCACAAAATTCATACACACTACTTGTACACTGTACACATGCAGCCCACAGGGAATTTTACACAGGGTTTTTAGTGCTGTTGGATTGTGACTGACATGTCACATGAGGTCAGGTATGGCACTTTCCAGCTGGGGAATCGTGTCAACACAGAAGTACTTTCTAACTTGAGAGCCCCTGAAAGGCTGGGTTTCCTCATCAGGCCTGCTCAGCCTATACTCTGATTATACCCCTGCAGGGTACAGGCTGGTGCCTTGGGGTCTGGCTATGAGATTCCCTCTCTCATTTCGCCTCCATCTTCTCTGGGGCTGATGGCTTGTTTTATTGTGTTTGGCCTTTATTGATTTTTGCCTCTTTTATGATTTGGCCATAGTCTATTTTTAGCCTTGTGGGTGATTTTAACCTTAAGGCATCTCACCACTGTTTCTCTTCATTCTCTTTCCCCAAACAGAAGCAAATAGAACATCCTCTTTCATAAAGACAAGCGGCCTGATCGTATTGGCTTTTCTCCCTGTGTTATTCTCTTTGTTACTGTTTGCATTTTAGGGATTAGATGTTCCGATTTGAATTTCTGAAAACATTTTTTTTGGCAAGATTCATTTATTTTTTAAATTTATTTATTCTTATTTATTGTTTGCTTGTTTATTGTAGTTTGCTTCTGTGTCAGTTGGCACACTAATGAACTGGGTCAGTTGCTCTTACATTTGACTGCTATTCAGAACCCCCGGGGGCCTGTTCCGCCATAGCTGAGTGTCTCCCACGAGCCTGAGGACTTGTGTTTGATCCACGTTTTCAGGAGCTGCCACGCCCTGGGGTTGCCATTCTAAGAACCACCCAGGCTTCCCAGTTACTACTCTCCCATGGCTGCTGGGACGACACTGGCAAGCCTCTGTTCTCCACCCCCAGCTCCTGCCACTCCTGCCTCCCAGGGGAGACCTCTTTTCTGGGTTGAACTCTTGACTTCTGGAGTGAGCTTTGGCAGTGTTTCCAAAAGGTAGAAAACTAGGGGGTTTGCCCAGCCCTCCCTGGGATCTTCCCTCGCAACTGTCAGCTAGGCAGACAGTTTTGTCTTCCTGGGTTTCCAAAGAAGTCACCTAGACTTATCTCTTGTCACAAACAGACTTAAGGCCAGTGAAAGAAACCTAGATTTTGCTTTTACTCTCTCTGCTTGAAAGTACCTAGGAGTTAGTTTGTCCCTTTATTCTGCTGTCGACAGAGTCCAGTGGATGCCTGGCATGTGTTGACAGCCACCACGTCTTATTGGGCCCACTCTTGTGAACCTGGTACTTTTTGAATCTTGCTGGCTTCCAGGCAGGTTGGAAGTTGTCATTGGCCCATGTAAGGATGGAGGAACTGAAGCCTTGGGGAGCGATGGGGATTGGATACAGTGATAGGTACGGGCTGAGCTATGCAAATGAGGTCTGACCGTCGCCTGCCTACCCCTGCCTGTGTTCTTTGGTGTCAGAGTCACAGGCACTGCATTTGCTGGGTGAAGGACGAGGGAGCAACCGGCTGTGAGGCATAGAGCTCCCGCTGAAGGAAGGGGGCCTTCAGTTCCTGGGGAAGCTGGAGTTCAGAGAAAGGGTGAGGGAACTTTAGGGCCAGTTAAATTGGGGGATGGGCCCTGAGCAAGGCTGTGGAAGGACATACTGTACCTGTTTGGTACTTTGTCTTGTGATCCAGCCTCTGGTACCTGAGATTGCTATTGCAGGGACAACGGTGGCTGAATCAGGAAGGTCTGGGATGGTCCCAGAGTGACCCCTTGTTCTCCTTCCCTCCCGACCCCACCCTGCAGCTTCTGCCTTCATCATCGCCATGCTCTTGGCCAGCCTCAACAGCTGCTGCAACCCCTGGATCTACATGCTGTTCACGGGCCACCTCTTTCACGAACTTGTGCAGCGCTTTCTCTGCTGCTCTGCCCGCTACCTGAAGGGCAGCAGGCCCGGGGAGACGAGTGTCAGCAAGAAAAGCAACTCGTCCACCTTCGTCCTGAGTCGCCGCAGCTCCAGCCAGAGGAGCTGCTCTCAGCCATCTTCCGCGTGAGCCGCCTGCCTGGCCCACCGCGCCTGCGGCGGGGGGGGTTATGCGGACTCCAGTCTGTCCCCTGGTGGCCATGCGTGGAGTTGTATAAGGTGCCTATTGGTGTGTATCCCTCTACTCCTTGGGGTGGCTAGCGAGCGGGGGCATATTCTGACTTGGGGTGGGGAAATGTCTCTATGGGAGCTGCCAGTCACTCAGCCATCAGAGGGTCTTCTGGGTTCCCACCTCTGCTTCTACTCTCCCAACCAGAGTGCTCTCGGGTGGTGGGTGGGCTCTCCTGAACCTGGCTTTCATTCATTCCATTATCTTTCTTACTTGTTTATCTTGGGATCTTGTAAAAGGCAGTAAGCCATGGATTGGTGACCAGTTATGTGAGGAAACCCAGTGGGCTGGGACAAGGAATGGGAAATGAGGCTTCAGATACAGAGTGGTGCTGATTTCCTTGTGACCCAAGTTGTGTGGACAGATCTTAGCATCCTCAGGGGCCAGAGTGTCCCAGGAAAACAATGGGAACAGGAGACTGAATCGTGAGGCCACCTGGCTTAGGAAGGCAACAAGAACACGGGCCGAAGTGATGAAGAAGCTGATGCTTGGTGAACATTTGGGAAGGAAAAAGAAGAGAGTCATCCAGGAGAGACAGGACTGGGGAGAACTGTTTGTACACAACACTGACCCATGCATATGAGATCCTGAGGAACACACATGCATGTGTGCATGCACACACGTGCAGGTAGCCCCCCCCCCCAGTCTGGAGCTGATAGTTGAATAGCAAGGTTGCAGAGTCCCAGATCAGTGTACAAAAGCCATTCATATTTCCTTACACTTCTGGTGAGCCATTGGAAAGTGAACTTAAGAGATCCTACCCATAAATGTGCCAGAATGAATAAGGGAGGGCCAGTGATAGCCGAGGAAATGTATGACTTCTGTCCTGAAAGCTGAAAACACCATGGAAGGAAATGAAAGGAGACTAAATAAACAGGGACACCTTGTGCTTATGGATCAGAGATGTAATATTGTTGGACAGATTTGATGTAATCCTCATCAAAATCCCAGCTGGCTTAGGCAGAAACTGATAACCCGATCCTGAAGTTCCCGAGGAAATGGGGATTGGGGTAGTTGAAATGCATTGGATTGTGCGGTTGGTGCACAATTTTGAGAACATATTAAAAGTCACTGAACCAGGGGCTGAGGAGACGACTCACTTAGAGAAGCACCTGCTGAGCAAGTCTGAGATGCCCCTTATCCAAGCAGGAGCCAGGCTCAGTGCGTTTGTAACCTCGGCCCTGGAGGGTGAAGACAGGCGCATCCCAGAGACTTGCTGGCCAGCCGGCCTAGGAGATTGATCAGCTGCGGGTTCTCAAAATAAATAAGTAAATAAAAAATAAGGTAGAGAGTGGAGGAAAACATCTGAAGTTGACGTTTGGTCTCTACATGTGGATATACAACATGCACACACTCACAGGCAAGCAGACAGACAGACAGACAGACAGACAGACACACATACACAAAACCACGGAACTAAATACATTTTAAAATGTGAAAAATGAGAGGTCCAAGAGCCGAGTTCTGGGAAAGTCAAAATGATGATGCATTTCTTGGTCTCTCTTCCTCGAGTGCTGGTTCTCCTGTGTCTCATAACCTCCAAGTGTCTGCGGGACAGGCTGCTTTCTTCTGGCCAGTGAGAGGGGCGATCACCCCCATCTGGCTCTAACAAAGGCCCGAGGGACGCTCTGCAGCACCGTGCCCTGTCTTCTTTAGAACAGGCAATTCCTCTGGAATCTCAAAGGCTTTGTTTACCCAGTAAGTATGATTTCAAATGTCCTCTCAGCCTCGAGGGCAGGACCCGACTGTCTCAGAAAAACCTTCCGTCATTAATACAGGACACAACTGACTAGTGGCGTTCTGGCTGTGGCTGGTCACTATGCACTCCGGAGTACCTTTGAAATACCCAGAACTGATTCTGGACTTCCTGAGATATATCAAGGGTACTTCCCCAAAGCCTCGAATCTGCAGATCCACTTTACCACCTCTCCCTGTTTCTGAACACATTTTCTTCTGCCGCACTGCAATATTTGCCCAAACCCACACATATACCCATGGGCACACACGCACAGGTAAGTATGGGACATCACAGTGTGGTGTTCAGAGAAGAGGGAGCCATGGGCTACAGTGCCCATGGTCAGCATCCACAGTTTAAGGCATGCTTGTTGGCACCAGCTGGAGACAGAAGGCGATGGCATCTTTGGACTCAGGGGCATTGCACAGTGGCCCACCTCATGCATGTCACCACCAGCTAGTTCTTTGAGAAGCTGGCAGGATTCTGCTTTGGGGCATCTGTGCCTATGTTCTAGGCCACCCGGGTGGCCTGGGTGTACACATGGCAGCAGGTGGGGGTCTGCTGGCATCTGTATCTTGAAGATGTCATTCGTCCCTGCTGTTCACTGAGTATTTGCCATCCTTAGAGAAAGGAGTTGACCCAGGGGTCAACGGGACCGTAACTCAGATATTCTGACCAGGGGCACCGTCTTTGTGTTCTTGAGAGCCCCAGAGGTGTAAGGTCTTGGACATTGCAACCTCCAGGGGGTACTGTGTCATTCTGTGTGAAAGCTCTAGCTGGTTACCTTGGGTCTTGTTATGGTCCTGACACCTGCGTCTGTGACATTAAGGACAACTGACTTCATCAGCAACATTGGATTGGCACTTGCCGTCCCGATCTCACGGGAGAAGAGTTTCACCATTTCTTGTTATTTCCCCAACCAAAGCCTAGGATCTCCAGGGGTCTAAAACACTTCCCCAACTCTGTGTCCTACATCTTCCTCCCTCAGACTCCACACTTGACATCCCCAGTGTCCTTTCCTATTTTCCACCCTGTTTACAGTCTGTGTTCAGCTCTGGAGGTTGTATTAAATTGGAGCATGCTGAATTTTCTGGAGTGTTTCATTGTTCTGACCATGAGGAGCCAGTGTGCAAACTGTGAGGGTTATTTAGGCCCTGCAAAAAAAAAAATCTACATTTAAAAAAGCTGTGGTCTTCTTTTGGTATAAATCAGACTGATCTATTCAGGAAGCACAAGAGGCTGTGTGTGCAGCCTGCCCGGATGATGTTCCTGGCTTCAGCGTATAAGTGTTTTGTATTCAATTGCAACGAGATGCCACTTAGCACACAGTGTGAATTCCTTGGTATTGTTCTTCCATGGACTTGGTGTGGTGCCTCCTTCTCCCCGCATCTGGTGAGTGATGTGGCCAATCCTGCTTTACCAGTTGCTTCATAAAAGGTGCACTTAATAAATATTTTTCTGTGTACTTCACTGCCTTTTCCTCCCTCCCAAGATCAGTGGCCTCTCATGATAGTTTCCTGGCAGGCTCCAGGGTCACCTGTCTGCTAGTGACAGCTGTATGGGCTGTGGCAGGGACCAGAAGGGGGGCCGGGTATTATTCTATGGAGTCCTAGGTGTGCTCACTTGTTTGTGGAAAGATTTGAGGATCTCGGACCCAACGCCTCATGAGATTTGTTAAACCCACTGTGTGTTGTGGTCTAACTGGAGGTTTGGGATTCTTTAGTGTCACCACGAAGGGATCAAGTTCCCAATGGGGAACGTGCGGAAAGCCATCCGAAAACTGGGTTGCTAAGATTTGGTGTGTGTTTATGCTTTGGGGGGGAGGGGACAACGAGGTGTTGTGAGTACACTCTGTTAATTTCACAGCTAGTCCAGATATGTAAACCCTGGGCCTCAGACACGTATGCTCTGGGCTCAGTGTCTTCTGAGCCAGAAGGGAGATTCTGTGATGTTTGAGATTGGGACCCATCAAGGGTTGCTCACTTGCTCTGAGTAGTCATAGCAGCCTCAGGGACATCGAAAGTCATGTGAAAACAATTTCTTCATATGGAAGACCCTAGGCCCAGCAAACAAGCAGAAGGCTAAAGAAAACACAACTTGGTGCTAACTTTCAAGTTGCCCAGAGCTCCAACTGAATTTTGTAGATTTCAGAGCCAGAAAAGGATACACGACCAAGTCACGGACAGGCGAAGCATGGTATTCCCCGGTGCAGCAGAAACCCTTTATTGCAGCACCCTCCTCATGCCTGCAGTCACTGCTTGCTCTCTCTTGCATGAGGAGCCATGTCAAACCTCTAGGGGACTAGCTCTGGTTTGTGGTATTACAGTACAAGTGAACGCAAAGCCTTGCGGTAGCTGCCTCTTAAACCATCTGCCCTCAGGCAGGCTCACAGGGGATCATGGCGGGCTGAGCAGAGCGAGGGTGTCTGTGCTTCCACACGGGGTCGTCTGTTCCTTCTGGCTCCCCTGCCCCATGCGTTCCCATCTTGATGTGAAATTGACAGGACCCTCAAAAGAATGAGCTCTCGGGCAGCCCACGTGGAGTGGAGCCTCGGGGCTCACCCGGCCTAATTTCTCCTGCCCAGCTGCCCCCGTAGCCCAGCCTGGCTTTAGCCTTCCCTCCGCAGCACCACCTTGATGTTGCTGCAGACCTGGCCCAGCGCAGCAAAGAGCGGGTTGCAGAAGGTGCGGATACACAGTGAGTAGATGTGGCTGATGCACTGGATCTCGATCAGGTAGCTCTTAATGCAGGGCACCACGGCCCAGATGTGGCAGAAGGAGATACAGGCGAACAGGAAGCCCCAGATCAGGGCCAGTGGCACACCCAGCAGGGTAGACAGCAGGCGGTAGCACCAGTACTTGGAGACGGTGAAAGTGGTGTAGCTCACCTTCCATACACCATCGAAGCTGTAGGTGCCCTCGGGCTCTGCGATCACATCTTCGAAATCTACCTGCGGGAGCCAGAAGGGGACAGCTCAACTCACAGCATATGTGGGCATTTCTAGCGTTTGCATACCTGTATAAGAAACTCTGCGCGGAGCCAGCTAGATGGTTGAGCAGCTAAAGGAGCACCTGTTGCTCTGGCAGACTTGGGTTTCGTTTCCACATAGTGGCTCACAATCACCCACAACTCTGGTTCCAGGGAATCTGACACTCCCTTCTGAATTTCACGGGCCCCAGGCAAGCACATAGTGTATGGACATTAAGCAATTCATACACATAAGTAAAATAAAGCTAAACAAAAGATTAAAAAAAGATAAAAGAAACTCTGGGGGTCCTGGGGCTATCTCTCTAATGACTGGCCAATATTGATGACAATGTTGGTCTCCAGCCCCACTGACTTGCCACGTACTGTAGTTACAAGGTTCTCTGAAGCTTTCCCAGCCTCCTCATTCTATGCTTGGGTAAAAGGATGCCCAGAAGTCAATAGCTTGTTTAATATGGCAGTGCTTAAGTTGCAGTGTCTGCTGTAGTTTGGGTCTGCAGTGTTTTCCCAAAGGCCTGATCCCCAAGATGGTACTGTTGGGAGAGGGTAAAGGGAGGAAGTTAGGGCATTTGAGATGTGCTCTGCAGGGGACACTGGGAGCCCTGGTCTCCTTCACTCTTCTTACTCCCTGGCCATCAGGAACAGTTTGGCTCCACCATGTACTCCTGCCATGATGTACTTACCTTACCACAGGATTGAAAGCAATCAATTGACCGCAGACTATACCTCCACAGCTGTGGGTGTAATAAACCTTTCTATACATTGCTTATTTCAGATGTTTGTTATAGAGATGGAAAGATGACACCACCAGTTTTTTTTTTGTTTTTTTTTTTTTTTTTTTTTTTTTTTTTTTTTTTTTTTTTTTTTTTNNNNTTTTTTTTTTTTTTTTTTTTTTTTTTTTTTTTTTTTTTTTTTTTTTTTTTGGTTAACGCGACACAAATTAAAGTCATTTGAGAAGCAACCTCTATTGAGGAAATTGTCCCCACCAGACTGGCCTGTGAGCAAGCCTAGGGTGCGTTTTCTTAATTAGTTATTGCTGTGTGAGGAGGGACCAGCCTGTTGTGGGCAGTGCCATCCCTGGACAGGTGATACTGGGGTATATAAGAAAGCAGGCTGAGCAAGCCTTGGAAAGCAAACTAGTAAATTGTTTGTCTTAGTTAGTGTTTCAGTTGCTGTGAAGAGACACCATGACCACAGCAACTCATATAAAGGCAAAAAATTTAATTGGGTGACTTATAGTTTCAGAGATTTAGTTCATCATCATCATGGAGGAACATGGAGGCATGCAGGCAGACCTGGAGCTGTGAGGGGAAAAGGAGCTAGATCTTGATCCCACAGGCAACAGGAAGTAAACTGAGACACTGGCCATGACTTGAGCATAGCAGGCCTCAAAGCCCACCTCCACAGTGACACACTTCCTCTAAGAAGGTCATCCTATTCCAACAAAGCCACACCTCCTAATAATGCTACTCTCTATGAGCTTATGGGGGTCAATTACATTCAAACTACCAGTGTTCCTCCATGCTTTCTGCTTTAGTCCCTGCCTCCAGGTTCCTATGCTTGAGTTCCTGTCCCGACTTCCCTCACTGATGAAGTATGACCTGAGAATTGTACACTGAAATAAACCCTGTCTCTCACAAGTTGCTTTGACCATGGTGTTTTATTACAGCAACATAAATCCTCGCTATGACACATACATCTTATTATTTAATGATCCTAATGAAGTTTGACGGCCAGGAACTAGTTGAGGCTCAGTTGGTAGAGCAATGGCCTAGCATGCACAAAGCCCTGGGTTTAATCCTTAATGCCACATGAACCATGTAATTCCAGAACTTGAGAGGTGGGCACAAGAGGATCTGGAGTTCAAGGGCATCCTCAACTATTTCGAGTGTTAAAGGGCCATTTGGGTTATATGAGTCCTTGTTTCAAAACAAAAACCAAAAACACAAAAAGAAGCTGAATGGTCACTTATCCTGCAGAGATTTGTGGATATCTTGTGGACATCTCATAAACTCTGGTCCTTGTGGAACTAATGTGGGTGGTAAGTACTTGTTAAGCTGGAGGTGGAGGCTGGGTACTTCTAAAGGGCATTTAACTCAGACTACGGAGCTTCCTGGTGGTAGCTTGTGTCTGAAGGTGGGCAGAGAAGTTGTGGGTTGGAAAAGAGCATTGGAACTAAAAGAATAGTGCAGCCTCAGGAGATCCAGCTGCTTCCTGAATGCAACAAGGAACAGGGTGTTGCATGGAGAGACTTCACTATCATGGACCTTTTGATGACTGTGGGCAGTGCTCAGCTGAATCTCGGTTCTGAGCAGCTTGTTTAGTTATTGCAACTGGGCAGTAGGCATGCTGGCAGTGAGAATGGGTGTGGGGGTCAGTGAGAACTTGATACCTGTTTTTCAGTAGTAGCTGTGAGTTGGAAGGAGGCACAGGTAAGGGAGCTACTGGCCTGTGGCAAGACACAGCCAGCCTAGAACTGGCATCTTCACCTCTGGTTTCTGTGTAGCAAAAATGGAGAGTTTCGATGTCTTCAGGGATCTCCCAATGTTTAGGATCCTAGAAGTTAGGTTGGAGGGCCCTTCCAACCTAACCTGGGTACATTCCCCATCCCCACCTCTCGGAGAGGGACTTTGTCTATGGAAAGGTTTTGACCTTAGAGACCTTTCCAACCTCTGTGGTGCCAACACCCTTCCTGAGAGGATCTCCTGGGGTAGCTGTAGAGAGACCCGCATGACCTCAGAGACTCTGCCAGCAAAGAGGCATTTGGGCAGAGATTTGCTTCTCTGCCTTTGGCCCATTTGACTCTTTTCCACTGGCCTCCTTGTCCAACCTATCCTGAGCCAGGCTCAGTCCAGGCATCTTGACTAATCCAATGTCGTCCCACTACTGCAGCGGGGGTCAGACCCGCATCCGTCAGGGAGGGCGACCCCTGCCTGTGAGATCTGGCCCTTGGTAGACAGAGAAACGTATTCCAAGACAGAGCCACAGCTCTTTATCTTTACCGCCCACCCAGAGCTGAGGCCCATCCATCACAGTCGCCCCGCCTGCCCCTTTAATTCAGCAGCTTCCTCCATTTGACACACTTTTCCTGTTTGTGTCTGGCTCTAAAGTGGCTGCCGTGCCTGGGCCCAGTCTAGCTGCTTATTGACTGGATGGCCCAATCAAGTTATTGGGTTTTTCTGGGTTGCATTTTCCTTGCCTGGTTTTGTAGGCATTATCAGAGGATTAAATGAATTGAGACATGTGAAAACGCAGAACAACGGCTGGCACAGAGTGGGCAGAGAAGTTGGGTTAGGAGTGGCTGGCTGCTGCTAGGGTTCCGATCTGAAATGTCTTCTAATGGAACATGTGTTAAAGCCTCGGTCCCAGAGCGGTACCACTGAGAAACCAAAGGACCTTTGAGTTAGTACATCGTGGAAGGCTGTAAGACTATAGGTGGTGTGACTTTAAAGCCAACTTTGTCCCTTCCTCTTCATCATT